CATCAACGTGGATGTATGATAGCACCACCTATCGGAACCACGCCAAAAACATCCGTGTCTCCAACTGCGTTTGAATCCTCCAAACCCTTCCCTTTACTTTCTTGCAAGTTGCATGCTTTAATTTCCACTGCCTATATACTCTTTGCATGCTTGCTTGATTTGTGTGATGATTGCTTGACTTGTCCAAAGATTGTTAAAATCTGCCAAACTCTAAAATTGGGAAAAGTTTAAGTTTTTAATTGGTCAAGTAGTCTAATCACCCCCCCCCTTAGACATACTTCAAGGTCCTACAGTGGCAAGCAGAACGCACTCACCCGGTCGAGGTTGAGGACTCATCTCCCCCTCCGACAGCCTCGCCGCTCCCTTAGCGACCAACCCCGACTCCATCAGCTCATCCAGGTCCGCCTGCTGAATCGAAGACCGGATCCAATCTCCCTGGATCCAGCCCGGCGGCAGCCCCGCGCGTGACGACGACCCGCGCTGCTGCTTCTTGCCCTTCGCCACCTCCTTCGTCTTCTTTGCGCGCTCTAGCGCTGCCGTCTTGTCCTTCACCATAGCGACGGGGCAGCGGTGTCGGAGCGGAAGAGTAAGGTGCGACGGAGAAGCAGAGGAAGGAGGAAGAAGAGAAAATGCGCACAATGCAGACCCCTCGGTCCGCTCACCTTATAAGAGGTCATTTCCGAGTGACTGATGCGTGGGGCCGCGCGATCCCGTCAAATCCCGCAACAGTCGATCGCAGCGTACGTGGCGAAAAAGGCGGCACGGGAATCGAGGAATCACTGCTTATCCGCTCCGCCCGCTTCGGCCTCCCTCGTCTGGCGCGCTCCCCCGAAATTTTGTATCCCGCGAAATCCGGGATACGCTGTAGACAATCGCGCCCAAGATCCCGCGCTCCAACATAACACTCGGCACACGAGATCAACAGTTCATTCGACTGTCCGCTGAATGGATCAAGGCAACTGAGTCGACATCAAATACCAACGCAGGCGTTCAGACTTACAGAAAGCACTCTCAAAGTCCCGAAGCTCGGAACAGGTTTAATTTCAACCTACATTACACTCACACCTTAATCCATTCGGGGGCTACTGATGAGGATACAGACCTGGGGTAGGGCCATAGGCCTGACCTACACACCCTACCCAAGGTCACTACCCCAGAAGATGAGAAGACCAAGAATCCACTCGACAATGCAATCACTCGACCAGAATTCTCTACCTTCACTCGACCATATGGGAACCACTCGACTACGTCGAATACCAGGAGTCGGTAGGACGTACAACGACCATATATTCACTCCTTAGTCTTCATGGGCATTAAGAGTACTTAATGCTGGCGTTACCAGTAACGCCTCTTACTTTATGTACATTAGTTCCCTTGTAATGGGGGCAGGCTGGAGTCCTGGCGCACTCTATATAAGCCACCCCCTCCTCTGGCACAAGGGTTTGCACCCCCTGTAATTCAACACACATAATCCAATCGACCGTCTCCGGGCACCGAGACGTAGGGCTATTACTTCCTCCGAGAAGGGCCTGAACTCGTAAATCTCGTGTGTACATCTTTGCCATAGCTAAGATCTTGCCTCTCCATACCTACCCCCTTTCTACTGTCAGGCTTAGAACCACGACAGGGAGGGGGCATGTTGGGGCATGGCTGGAGATGCTCTAAACCGGGTTTAGAAAGAACGAGCAGACCCGCCCAAATAATCGTAACATACCTAGTGCATTGCCATCACAACGCAGGCCGAACTCCACCCTCTCGAGCTGGCAACCACTGTGCCCCATGTTGAACTACAATCCACCATGAACATAACACCTATGTGTGGTGAGCTAACCAACTCATGCCAAAAAACGGAGGTCTACATCACCAACCTTCATTTAAGAGAAGCAACAAATTGCTTTGAGCCTCCGTCATCTAGTTGCCATGCCAACGACACCCCAAAAATTCGCAGGCATGTAGCTACGGGGGCAACCTGCTCAGACATGTCCGGACGCATGATTGCCTCGCTATTTGTAAAGCCGTTGCATTTCGCATGAGAGCACACCAAGTTTTAAGTGAAACTTGTGTTTTTTGTCATTCTATGCACCAAGTTTCAGCAGATGAAACTGAACAAAGTTTAAAAAACTCGTCAAAACATATTCAAAATGGGTCTTATTTGAAATACCTTGTCACAGGAAACATGAATATGAAAACAAAACTTAAGTTGGACATTAGGTTCAAAAGATACTAAATATAAAATAGAAATCCAAAAGAAAATAGGGTCGGTGCCTCCGCTGCCCATGCCACAAATCCTCTCGCAATGACACCTCTCACATCAAAAGGGAGGGAGTAAAGCAAACCAGATCCACTCGCTAATCCAAGTTCGAATTGAACTTGATGGTCGTTAAACTAGACCATCACACATAGTGCACCACCCATGCAAGTACATCAGGCGATCCACCATAGCTCACCATGGCAGTAATGAAGGAAGCTGATAGATCTAGGGTGGCACAACACACTTACCGCTATGGTTGTCATGGGTGAGCATGCATCCACCCGACAACCTCCTCGTTGCACTTAACAACGGCCTGAGAAGCCGCACACCATCCCAACCTAACAGCATTTTCGGACACCATCCCCTTAACTGAATACAACACCCACACCAGATCCACAATGTCGCCACGCCAAGCTACCCTTCGTAGGCGCAACACAATCATTGGACCTCCTAGATCTTCTGTACCAATGTTGAAGCCCACGGCTCTGCCGTAACCAAATATGAAGGTGGAAACTCACACAAATGTGTTGGAAGAGAGAAGGAGGTAGGGAGAAGAGAGAGGGAGGGGGAGAGACTGACATTTCCCGCACCGTGATCCATCGATGACCACACGCTTCGTCGCACCTCCACGCCACCATAACTATGTGACACCACATCTCCCCGCCTTCGAGCCGCCATACCCCCAAACCAGCCGCATGAACAACACCCCGACGTCGTTAGCTCCTTGGGAAGCGGACCCTGCCGTGGTTGGTGGTGAGGGCATGCAAGGTGGTGTGGCTTCTTGTGCTTGGAGTTGACCATTTGAGTCACCCCGAGCGTCGCCTAAGAGGACTACAACAAACATCGTTGGCACGTCCCCCGCCACCACGTCTCTTCTATCTTGATGCATGGTCCTAATGCTCAATATATTAAGTGGTACTTCAGCGTTTGATCCCGTGTTCATCTGATCTTCATCACACCACGAATTCTATCATTGCTTTGTAAGGGTGTGTTTGGTTGAGGAACCAAGTGGAACGGAATGAAATGGTTCCATTCCATAGGAACGGGTCCGTTTCATTCTTGTGTTTGGTACCAACAAAAAAGCAGAACGGATTGGCTCCGTTCCAATGTTTAGTTAGAGAGATGGTATGAAAAATGGAACCACGTAAAATTCAAAATTTTGGCAGCATTTCATTTGTATTTTGAAGAAAAATAGCACGACAACATACATATTGACAAAAATCACACATATATGACATAAACCAGACACAAACTTAACAGAAGGTAGCAAGTTCATCCATCACATCCAAAAGCAATCAGCCATACATGAGTTCACATACAAATCATCCAAAAGCAATCAGTCATACATGAGTTCACATACAAATCATACATGAGCTCTTCATCAAATTCTTTCAAATTGGAGACTATATCCCGTCAGATTCAGCCACAAGCTTCAGCCATCAAATTCTTTCAAATTTCACAAAAGCTTCAGTCACAAGTTTGAACCCACCAGATTTCACATGAATGAGGTCTTCCCTTCCTTATTATAGCCAAACAATGACTGACGTTGCGACTAGTGCAACAAAAACAGCGGCTTCCACCAGATTTCACATGAACGTGGTCTTGGTGACCATGTACAAATGATGCATAATCAAAAATATGGCTAGCAATGACTTGTAACCATGGATCTAGGTTGTACACAGCAGCACATATTGAAGTAAAAATTGGGTAACCATGGATCTGGG